TAAATAAGTCAAAGCGGTGGTAAATTTCCATTCAGACTTCCACCTTTTTAGGAAAAGTTGGCCCGGGCATTTTCCTGTGTGTGGCTGTTGCCAACTGAAACTGTTTTTTGTTTTCTCTTGCCTTTATCAGTCTTCTCTTTTAAAGTTCACTGCTGTGCCATTTCGCTGAAAATCTATTCCACTGACTTTTCCTGGAAACATGCAAAAGACTGCAGCCAGACATTTCACATTTTTTGTGCTACAGACTACAGCAGTGTTTCTCAACCTTGGCAACTTTAAGATGAGTGGACTTCCACTCGTCTTAAAGTTGCCAAGGTTGAGAAACACTGGACTACAGTATTGAGTGAGCCATCCTTTCTTCTCTGTCTTAGGTTTTTAGGGTCCTCCACCTTTCATTATATTTACCTGAGTTTCAAACTATAAAAGGGTTCTATGTGTACTATAGATCCCTTTGAGCACCAACTTTGGGTTATAGGAGGGTGAGAACTGGTGTCTAAGTGGCCAATCCCAGTTGTCACTCCCCCAACTGGAATGCAAATGTTGCCATGTCAGCAGTGTTGATCCTTACAAAAACTTGCTTCTATGCTGTCTACGAGGTGAGTCACGAACCAAGACGAAAGGTTCAACGTAGGCCTGATGCTAACTCTCAGAGCTACAGGGGTGCTCCAGATGATACTGTTTCTCAACCTTAGCAACTTTAAGATGTGTGGACTTCAACTCCCAGAATTCCCCAGCCAGGTTGAGAAACACTGCTCTAGCACATTGGCCCAAGAGATGTTGTTGCACAGATAAAAAATCTAAATGGCTTCCCCTTTCATGGTGAGTTTAAAAAAGAGGGAAGGATTCTAGGAGTTGAAGTCCACACATCTTAAAGTTCCCAAGGTTGAGAAACACTGGCGTAAAGGAACAGAAAAGATACACAGCGTGAGGGCCATTTGGGACAGGATGCAAGAAATCCATGATAGGATCTTTGAGTAAATTGTGGCAGTTGATAGGCAAAAGGAGAGATCTGGATCTGGGCTGGGGCAGAAAAACAGATGCAATCTATGTACATAGCTGCTTGTGGCCTTGTAAGATAAAACGCATAAGTACTCATATGATGAACTGTTAAGTTTGCTCTCTGGGTCAAGCAGCAACATGGGTAATAGTTTTAATGGGGGAAGGGGGAGGAAAGGATTGCATTCCAGCCCTAAAAATGATTTCGGCCAATAGAGGATGGACAATACAGGTCTCTGATTTTTGTGTCCACCCTGTGGGAAATGCTGCTGGAGAAGTTAGTTGGAAAAAACTTCTACAATGAAAAGATTTAAACTGCATATGTTCATATAGATATACTGTACACACTTCTCTCTCTTCTCCCTCTCCATCACACATACACCCTCTCCATTGACATTCTTAGCCTCCAATGCTGCTTTCTTTTAAATAAAAAAGTGACTACAAGTATCTGTGAAAGAAGAGGGAGTCATCAGCATGCCTGGCTGAACCTCAATGGTTGCAGAGTCAAACATTTTTAAGAAAAATCAGCCCCCCACAAAAAAACAATCCAGTCAGAATTGAACATGTTCAGTAAGGATAAAATGCTCTGATGTACATAGCATGCTAAGTCTTACTGTGGTTTGTTCTATTTTAGATTATGGTTGGTCGCACAGTCAGCCAGATGTTTAGACTGGATTTGGCATTTTTATCCACCTACTGAATCCTTCCCAAGGACCTGGGATAGGCAGATGTTGCTGTTTGATGGCGTTAAAGGTAGCGTCACAGGATATAAGCTGCCTTTTGCAATTGACTGATGGTGATTTTGTCAATGCCGATGGTGTTCAAGTGGTG